CTCGTCTCGGAGCAGATGAATGCAATCTCCCTGCCTCCGCTGTTGTCGACAACTGACCAAACGCGACCTTTCCCAGTTAATTAATTGGGCGAGCGGCTCACTAAGAGCAACGTTAAATTTCATGCTTTAATTTAACGACAAGCGTCCGCGCCGCATCTATCGTAATTTGAAAGCCGTGGGTGTGACGGAGTGCTCGAGCTCCGAGGCCCGGAGCGCCGCCACCACTTATTTTAACAACACTCCAATTATGGGATGGCCGGGCCCTTCTGCCTTTTCATCCCCCCTGGATGGAGCAAACAAGGGTTTCCATTTCACCGCTGCACCTGTAAGAGCAACGCTGGCTGGTGAGCGGATGACTTAATTGTTCACTCCTGTGTCTTGGAAAACCAAAGATTTGTGGCTCCTCCGTTTCCAGGAAACGCTGGATGTCCACAGGCAGACAGCAAATAGCTTACTGTCTAAAGAGCCCAATGCTCCTGTCAAAGCCCATTTGCAACTAGACGGCATCCGCAGCTGTTATGAAATCTACTTCATAAATCTATACGGCGCTTCATTTCCATGCTACTCTCGGCAGACACATCTAGGACTCCACGCCACCCGCCTCGCCGCGGTTTAGATCCAATTTGAAACAGCTCCCTCTAGGCTATTCTGGCGGAGTCTCTTTCTTCCCTGGAAGAGCCCGGCGCTCCGTTAAGGCCATGTGATGTTCCACAGACAGTCGGAAGTGTCACTTGTGCTGCGTTATCCTTCCCTCTCCTCCGCCGGAGCTGAACCACAGTGGCAGGCATGACTCACTGAAGTGCTGTACTTTCTAATGACACGAGAGCGGAGGCTGAGTCAATCTGACCTGACAGTCTTGCATAAATCACGGCCCTTCGATTTAAGTTGCTTTGAGGAGTGTCAACAGATCCGCGGGAGGAATATTAGACGCCGCTGTAGGTAGGGACTCCGCCTCTGGGAGCTCGTTACGGGGTGTCTCCCCTTCATGCCGCTTCGACGCGTCCGCCGACTAAATTTCGTGACCAAGCGCCCACCAGCACCCCCAAGAACATTTTAATGGGCGAGCTTTTCGGAGGAGAACTTGAAACGCAGGTGAAACTGGAGCCTGCAGAGAGGTGCAGCAATAAAGGCCGTTAACTGATAATGCAGCTTTTATTCCTTTTGTTTACGGCCTTTGGAGGAGCCGATGAGACGGCGGCGTGGAGAGCGCCACTACACAGCGCTTAGCTTCTAATCTCGCCATTAATCACTCCACTTGAAAGTGTTCGACAACAAAAGGCTGTTTTCTTGTTGTTGTTGTTTTGTTTTCCCTCCCACTTTGAAATCAAAGTAGTTATAAGTATTTTCTTCTTTCCCTGGACAAACACGAGAGGCCTTCGAGCCCCGAGTCTGCGGATTCAAACCATCGGGAGGCGAATAACTCGACAAGAGGATCACGCGTTCAGCATTAACAAGTTTCGGCGTACGAGAGTAAACACGAGCGGCGCTTTCTGTTTTCTTGTTGCGTCGCTGCTTTCCTCATCCGGAACCATCTTTCCTGCCACACCGGCTCCAGTTGACTCCCGTTCATTTAAATAATGCACGGCTATTAGTTATATTAAAGACAGGCGGCGTTTCAGCGCAGCAAACTTTTATAGCTCCGGGCACTTATCTGCGATATTGGCAGCCACTCAAGGAAAGAAAAAAAAAGAAGAAGAAGAAAAAAAAAAGAAGAGAGGGAGCAATTTAATCAAACGTGAGAGATCTAAACACCAGGGAGGCTGGATGTAAGATGGTTTCTGATCAAGAAGCTGGAAAGAGAAGTGTGCGATTCTGTTTCCATTATCGGAGAGGAACTGCAGCGCCGGCGCTCTGCTACTCGGGGGCATGGGAGGGAGAGCTATAGAAAGCCGTTGGTTTATGTGTCTGTCAATGTCACGTCTTTTCAGGATCACGGTTCAAGGCGAACAGCAAGGATAAAGGGGGGGCAGGGAGGGGAACTGGTACATTGCTGAGAGGGTGCTGGTAGGTCAAAGGACCTTCAGCTGAGTTGACGCTGGTGGATATTGTGCTCTTCAGTGATTTGAAGGATGGAAAATAACACGGAGTGTATGATGCCAATGGGCCGGGGAAAGAAACGCAACGGAGCAAAGGATAGGTTTCTGCACAACAGGCCGAGAGAATCGGGCTAACCGCGTACATGGTGCAAGAACTGGACTCTACTTGCAAGTACTGCTCTTGCTTTACTATTTCATGCCTGTACTCTGGATATTAAAGCCTTAAATGATTCAGTTTTGAAAGGTTAACTTGCTTGTAAAACCACATACTGGATAGATGTGCCGCTAGCTAATTTAGCTAACATTAGCTCCATGAGTTGACTGAAAATGCAATACACTGTAAATACAATACCAACATGTGGACTACCATTTAAAGGCCTTGAGTTTGGAATCTGGCCGTCGCCATCTTGGTCTTTTGCGACCTTTCAAGCACAAAGTAGCTAAAACCTACGCTGCTTCATTGCTCATTTTATTCTAAATGGGATCATCATTTACAAAACAAACATCACGCTGTATTCAAAATAGCCTGAATTTAGCAACTGAGAAAGAAAAGCAACAGAGTACGACAGAGGTTTCTGCACAAAAGATGACAAAAACATGCTGTAAGAATTGGATAAAACCCGCAAGTACTGCTGTAGTTTTACTATTTTTGCCTGTATTACAGCTATTAATGTCTAAAACTGTTTAGTTTTGTGTGCATAGAGCTAATTAAGCTAACATTGGTGCCATGAGTTGATTGAAAATGCTGTTTCTTGCCCACAGACTGTAGCTACAAAGACCATCCTGATCTTTTAAAACTGGACCGAATGACCGGTGGATCTGAGAACTTGAGGACACTGTGCACAGTGATAAAGAAGCCCCACCCTAAAGCACGCCGGCTTTATTTCTTATTTTACTCTAAATGGGACTAAAATTAATAAAATAAACACCAAACTTTTTGAAAGTGGTGATTGAAATCAAAATCACATGTGGAAAATGTTTCCTGAGGTAACAAATCAAGTAAAAGGAGGGTCGTTATCTCATAGACGTTAATACAACCTGACTTTTTCTTTGCAACCAGAGAAATCGCCCCCTGCTGGTCATTAGAAAAACACTGAACAGTGGCTTCACTTTTTTAAACTACATTAAGCTACATTAATCTTTTATAGACAGTCTATAGTCTGGCTCACTTTAACAGTTAGCAGCTGATATATTTCAAACTAAGAAGACGTAAAAAATGTTTTTAATGTGCAACTGATGTCTTCGTACATCACAACATTCAAAAGCTAGATGTCCTAGACACAGAGTTAGCGGCTGACAACATCAACGATATGAAAATAAAGAAGCTGTTTTGTTCTTTTATTGTAAAGAAGAGCAAATTTTATGGGGCTGATGTCGACAAAAAATCATCTAAGATCATTGGTTCATTCATGTTTGGCTGTTTGAACCAGAAAGACATGTTTTACTTCGAAAAGTCATAAAACCAAGACTAACTAATGTGTTTAGTGAATCTAGTGCTAGCTCAGAGATTGGTGGTTTCCTGCGTTAAACATCTCCCAAAAAGAACATTAAAAGAGCTGCTAGCATTTGCCAAAATTATATTAGCATTCAGCACTAGCTTCTACACACTGAGGAACTACTGTACAGCTCATGTTTGACTGCGATCAGCTTCTTTACTGTAACCTGTAATTCACAACATAATTAGCGAATGATGAGGCTGAATATGTAGAAATCCTTCAAAGCCTATTAAGGTTACTTGTACTGGACCTTTACTGCGAGTTGACTCAGACATAAAACTTGTCTTTTACGCTTCATGAAGACAGATAACATCGTCGACGCCAGCTTCGTGTCCCCACATCATAAAGTGAAACCATCTCGCCAGCAATGTGCACCGCCGTTATCTAACGCTGTCAGCAGTAAAAACACTGAGGCTTTTCTGGCTTACGTAGAGGAGCTGCATCTTTGCTTTTTCAGATTTTTCTCTCTCTCTCTTTCTTTTTTTTTTTGCCTTCCTTCCTAAATGGCAAACTAAGCAAACAAATCACGCTGGTGTATGAGGGCATGGGAAAACCACTGATTCCAAGGATGTCTGAAAAATGTATTTGCAGTGCAGATCTCATGGTGCAGATCTCAGATAATTTTCTTTCAAAACTGCAACCACCCACAGGCTTCTAAAGCTCCAGCTGGCAAGCAATCCTGAGGAGAACAGATTCTCCCCCAGCAGGGGCCATAGGGATGCAGCAGGAGAGAGTAAAAGAAGCTCATTCTGTTGATTAAATTTAGTTGATTTAGCTGCTTGGCTTCTCCGGGGTGACTTGGAGCTCACAAATTATCAACCTTAAATGGTGGATCTTTACTGAGATGGTTCACATTGGTTACAGATAGACTTGGTTTCGGTACAGTTGGGAGAAACGCGATGGATTCCAGCCCCCGGTTAGCATATTGATTTCGTGCCGGCTCTTTACACCTGTTTCACTTCTCTATCCAGCGAGTTTCGTGTCGACCTGCAGAATACAGGTAACGCTCGGGCAATTCCCTTCCATTGCTTCCATTGTTGGGTGTCGACGTAACTATTAAAACCTTTGATGTTTCGTTAGAAGACTGCCACAGCCTTGAAATTGTAGTTTTCTCTCGTTATAGTGTGGTTTTGTAGTTAACCACGCACTTGAGGACTAGTTTCCACATCAGTGTCGGACAAAATAAGCCTATAAATCTATTAGGACGCTGCCTGAAATGTATAGTAGGGTGCACAAGCTCTACAAAAAAACCTGTATTCTCTACATGCATGTCAGAAAGTGTATCATAGATCAGCTGCAGTGCCTGTTTGCTCCACCAGGTGGCGCTTCTTAGTGGTAACTTGGAGTACGAGTTTCGCTTTTGGTAAGTAGACACCATTTTTGGAGTTTAGCTAGAAACTGGCACCAAGACAAAGCTTCCCGTGACGCTTAATGACAAAAAAAAAAGTAAAAATCAGACGGTACTTACTCGTATACTTGGAGCTTGTAACACTGGCTGTTCAAAAACAGAAACTCCCAATCCGTCCCGTAGTCTATGGCCAGCTTCTTCCGCAGATCACTGAGGAAACCAGAACACACGAGTGATTAGGAGCATAGTTTAGTCACAACTATTTTAGCTAATATTTAAAAGTTCCACCAAAGAGATGCTTTAAACAGTCGGTTTTCTGGTTCTGTGCAGCACAACGGAGCACATATGCTCTTCGCCACCTACCAAGCTGCTTTATTAACTTCTGGGTGACTCAGAACTGTGCTGACAGTGTAGTTTTATTTGCTTCTGTTAGTGACTGACTTGGAGGCTCCAGTGTGTTGATGAGGTGGCCCTCTAAAGCCCATTTCTATGCAGCGTCTCCAATTATCTGAGCCGGTGAGGGCTGCTCTTCTTCACTAATCGCAAATAAGGCAAGTGAGCCCTATCTCTAACAGCGCACAGGCCCTCATTTCCATATTCATAACCCAGAATTGCTAATGGGGTTAACAAATGTTTAGGGAGGGTGATTGTTCCGCTCGAGGTTGATAAGGCGGGGTGGTGTAGGGGGATGATTCGGGGTCAAAAAAGCGATGCGGGGTTGCGTAACCGGGTGTGCATGTGATTCTCGGCGGGGCAGGGGTCGCGGCGTTCATGCACGGAGTCAATTTTGGTGGAAATTGCTCTTTACAGCATAAAATGTATGGACTAATAAGGAGGAACGGGAGGGATAATTGAAGACAGAAATGCACCAACACACTAATATCTACATGCTGATAAAGCCTGGAGAGAGAACATGGGGGAGGAGAGCCATATCTTGTGCTCCGACACAAATGATAGTGAGTAATTTGACCAGGAGCAATTAAAGCAAGGTGGGCAATGAAGAAATGGAGCGAGTGAAGCCATGCCAGCTCCTTTTCCTTCGTTTCCCTGTTGTCTGAGGGAAGAAAAACCGTGACCTTTTGGTAAGTGCCATCTCTGTAGTCGGCCCTTCTTTCTCCATGTTGTAATGAACGGTTTGTAGGCCCGAGGGCCGCAGAAACTGGCTCTGTCAGGACCTCGGAAAGGCAGCGTTGAGCAGGAACCCACATCCAAACAGTGTTTTCTTTCAGCTGTTGTGAAAATGTTGCAGGATCGGGATGATCAAGTTGTTGTTTATTTGCCCCCTATTTAATCAACGTCTTTTAATATTTAGCGACACCAAGTCCCCATGGTGATACCAGTGATCTAGATAATCTACACTTCAAGTATATTAAAACCAATCCACTATATGCTTGACAGGACAAAAAATGCATCCAAATTGTTTCTGAGGGGAACATAGTCGGTCGAAACCTTGTTGTGAAGCTTCAGTAGGCCATCATCTGTAAATTATTGTGAGAAGATGTACTGGGGTTTCACAAGCTCCATATTTTCTACATGCATGTTGGAAAATGTNCCACCCTGCCTGACATGCTGGTCCCATGGTCTTATTCTGTGTGTGTCAGCGAATGAATTTGTATTTGCAAATGTGTATATGTGTGTGCATATATGAGTCTAAGTGTGTGTGTGTGTGTGTGTGTGTGTGTGTGTGTGTGTGCCAAGCCCCTGTGCCCTCCCCTGTGCCCTCCCCTGTCTCCACGCCTGGATGCTAACCGCTAGTGAAGGCTAGCCAATTATCCCCAATCAAGCTACCCTCTCTGGAACTGGCGCGAGAGGAAGCTCCCACTAGAGCTTATACTAGTCATTATGGGGCACATCCTGACATTAACTTTCTTCTTTTCCTCCTTGACTTTAATTCTTCCGTTGTTTCTCTTTTCTTTCTTTCTTTCTTTCGTTCTTTCGTTCTTTCGTTCTTTCTTTCTTTCTTTCTTTCTTTCTTTCTTTCTTTCTCTCTCTCTTTCTTTCTTTCTTTTCTTTCTTTACCACCAATAAGTCAAGGCCTGATGCAGCCAATGCTGAGGCGAACCAGCAATCAAACACACAAACTAAAAGCACATGGGTGCTAATTCATGCCTTCCTAATAATGCATTAAGGAAATTTAGGGGTTGATGATGGAGGGGAGAAGCGCAGGCCATGCGTGGAGTCATTTTCAAAGGAAGAATGTGTGTCTTTCTGTGTCAACTACAGATTTTAGTGCTTGAAGCGCTGAGCGTGTGTGTGTCTGCTCATGTGTGTGTGCATGTACCTACAGGGAATAGGGAAGGGAGGCAGTGAATTCTGGGAAATGTCACCCCCTCACACACACACACACACACACACACACACACACTCCTCCCCTCTAGAGACTGAGAGACAGATTGGACTCAAATCAACTCAGGTAATTTACCCACATGGAGACAGTGATTACCTCTCCCGCTGTCTGTATTTCTACCTTCTCTGGCTCTTTGTGGTCTCTTAAACTTTCCGTAATCTTAGCTCTGGGAAACACAAGACCTAATTTGCAGTCCCCAGTCCTGTTGTGTCAGAGAACCTCACAAGTTTGACGTGAACTGTACAGTGTCATTGATTGTCTGTGCTCAGTCAGATCAGCTAGCAGTGAGAGAAAGGGAGAGGGAGAGAGGGAGAGCGGGAGACCAGGCGAGGTGTGGTGCCTGTAGGTGATCCACTTCATTCTGCTCCTGTCTTGTTGTGACAGGACCAGCATTAAATGGAAGGAGTCACTGACGGAGCAGTGACAGGCCCAACCCTCCACCCTCCCTCCCTCCCTCTGGGTGTGTGAGTGTTTGTATGTGTGTGAGCAAGCCAATATGCAAGCTTCCATGTGCATTTTTTTCAGTCTCTCACTGGGATGTGACAACTGAATGGCACTTGAATGGCACTTTTTCCCACTGCTCATCAAGCGGTGGCCATGTTATGTTAATGACAGTTGTAGCCGCGCGCAATAAAATGCACTTTCATTTAATTTCCATATATAGCACTTATGTGTCAAAGAGGAGGGGAGCGTGCGTGTAAAACTACACACTTGAGATCAGCTTATCAATCATCGCATCATTTAAAAAATTTCACCCCGTGCAAATGTCGCAGAGGGTTACATTTCTCACCAATCAGCCTTTACACGTGAGATCAGTGAAAAGGTGAGATCAATCAGAGCAGATGACAGATGATGAAAATGTTTCTGCTTTTACGCACTTCAGACGCAGCCTGTTTTTTCCTTCCTCGTGCGTGTGTGTTTGGGAGTTGGCGTGCAGCAAATGTTTGAAGATAAGCTCTTACTCTCTGACTCTTCTTTCAAGGCAATTAGGTGCGACTTCGCAGAGATTTGGGCTATAAGTTGAACATCAGCACCCTTCATTGTTGAAAGGCACATCTCAAATTAGTGAGCACCACCACCTCCTCCTCCTCCTCCCTCCCTGCTCTTGCCCAGCCTATCACCATCTTTCCCTCCTGTGCTCCTGTGAAGACACAGAGGCCCCCGGGGCCCTGAAATGTCTCCACACGCTGGAAATTGAATCAAACGGCATCAATCAGGACACCGTTTTTTTCCTCCCCCATTTCACTCCTTTTTGCTCTTGCCCTTTTTTTTTTTTTTTTGTTTGGTGTCTCTATGCAGTCTGCCAGGTTTTATAAACACCACTAGGAAGCACAATTGGATATGTAGTGAAATAGAAGTACTGTAAAGCATTCTTTAGTGCTGCTGGTGCTTTGAATTAGTGTTCATTCATCTAAGTCAGATTGCAGGGGACCTTTTTTTTTTTTTTTTTTTGCACATTACCAAGTATTCTATTGGCTCTGTGTATTATAAACACCATCCTGCTCACACACACTCACAAGCACACACACATGCACGCACACATAGTGATATTATTATCCTCCTCTTCTGTGGCTCTCTACTGTAAAATGAGTTTGCCCCAACTCCATTAAAACCCGCGCCAGCCTCTCCCCCGACGCTGCTGCCCTATTTGCATGTGCTAGTGAGCCACTCCACAGAATGATCTCCTCTCTTCCTCTCCTCCTTCACTCCGTCCCACTGGAATGCACGATAAGTGGGCAGATGACATTCACGGAGAAAGACTGCAATAAAGTGACTCTCCCTCCATCTTCTTCTATCCCCCTTTTTTCTCTTCCTCTATCGCTTCCTCCTGTCTGTGCCACCGCATCAGAGGCAGAAGGGGGATATTGCGAATGACACGGGCAAATCAGCTGTAAATGGGCGCTAATTTGATTGACATCTGGGCTGCTGTCACCGAGGCGGGCGAGGACAGGCCCCTGCCAGCAGACGGCAAGCAGCGTTTACCCAGTGCACAAAAAGCCAGCTTTCAACTAAATCACTTCTTGTCCGGTGGGCCCTCCCTCCTTGTCCCTCTCTCTCCCTCTCCTTCACTCCTCCCATATCTCCCTCCCCACCTCCCGACACCCACCGCCGACCGACTCGCCAGATTCTAATTGCGTGTGTCCTTCCTCTCGGTGCAATTTTCCCATTACCGCCACAAGAGCAGCCGCACTGCTCATCTGAAGCGAGGTTGTCTCCGAAATATGTACCTCTACGTTAACCCTTCGCTGGCTAACAGGATACATGGTGGAAAGGAGGAGTGTGTTCTGTTGGCTGAGCTTTAAAAAAAAAAAAGGGATGACATTAAAAACCAGTTGTGCCATGAGCAGCAGACAAATTCATCAACTTTTGTTTGTTTTTATGCAATTTGGTTAATCACTGTCAAATGTATTGTGTTGGATGCATTTGAAAAAAGTCTAACTTCTTCCTTTTTCTTTTTTTCATGTGCTCCTGCTGCTGTCTCTCACTTCCAAAGGTAAGTTTCTTTCGTTTTTTTTTTGTTCTCCCAGCAGACACGTAAGTGATAGGGCCTCAGAGCTCACTACTGTTAACTCTCACGCTAGGTTAAGCGTGGCTAAAAGGCACCAACGTGCATGTTGACTTACAGGTCGAACACACACTCAACTCTGCTCACAATCAAAGCATGTTTAATTCAGAGCATCATGTCTCTTTCTCTTTTCCCATTCTCTCTTTTTTTTTTCCTCTCTTTTCCCCGTACTTCTTTATTTATGTCTGTGATGTCGGACTGTGCCAACAGCAATGCCAAGGGCAAATAGCAGAGGCACCCATGGCAATGAAATGCTAATAAGTACTGTGTCATTTCAACAC